GAGTTAACACAGGATGTATCAATAGCAGAATCAAAAAGTATATAAGATGGTTAAAATTAAGCATATAGTAGAGAAATAAAATTAGAACAGAATCTCAAGAAGAATATTGTTGTTTGTGATGGCGAATTAACATGGATTATTTTGTAACATTCTCTTCTAAATAAAAACTTTCCATTGAACTGTAGACATGGAACCATTTCTGTAGGGTGTGCATGAAAATTTATGGGAGGAAAGAAGTATGAGTTATCTCTATCAATTTATAAAAAGCCTTCTAGGCTTCTTGCAGAGAAATGTGTTCCCTCTTTCAAACTTTGAACAGTTAGAATTTGGAGTTCAGAAGCAGAAATACTGTAGTAGATAGAGCAGGAGAGTCAAAAACAAAAAAGAAATTGATTTTGAAGAACCTGTAAAGCAAGGAGGAAAAGTGAAAAATAAACATTTACTTCTAGAAAAAATTGAAAATGATGATTAGAAGATGATAAGCAATAAAACATCCAAATAAAGGCTATAGTTGACTTTCAAAAGTGAGACATTGGAATTTTAATATCATTAATGCTGTGAAAGAACCCCAAATACCAGCAGTATCTGCAGATACCATAGCCCATGGAGACCCCCTCCCTAGCAATATTGACAGCCTTATCTCTCTCTCTAAGGGAGGAATATCAAGAGGACACTCAATGGAGAATGAAGGATTTTTTCAATACCCAGTCAGAATGAGGCCATGCATGTATGATGTCAGTGTAGAGAATTGGGGGAGTAGTAATGAGGTGCTCTTTACCCCATCTAGCCAGGGAAGTATGATGGAGGCCTAGTGGGTGTTAAAACCTCCACTGTCACTTAATAATACATGAGGCACTTCCTTATTTGAGGTCAAAAAAAGCAAAGGGAAGCACTCGTCCCTCCATCCCACCTTAGCAGTAATGTACTGGCGCACTCTCCCACATCCCTGCCAGAAATGTCAGAAGTGAGCTGAAACAGAAGGTTTAACTTGCAGAGTTTGGGAGTAGAAGTGTAGCTCAGTAGAATGTACTTCTCTAGCATGCATAGGCCCTAGGTCTCATCCCCAGCACTGCAACAACAGAAGATAAACTCAAAGAGAAATTCTAAGTATGTCCAAGTAACCCACAGAAATTCAGGAAAAAGAAAATAGAAAATGAAGAAATTGAACAAAACAAAAACAAAAAATGACACAGCATACTTAAGCTTTAATGTAATAGTTACACTGAATATAAATGACAAATACACCAAATAAAAGGCAGAGATAGATAAATACATTGTAAAGCCATGACCCAATGATATACTAGTTACAAAAATTCCAATGTAATAATATAGTCACATGTAAAGTAAAAGAAAGTGGAAAATGACATGTGGAATTAACACTAAAAGAAACTTGGAGTACCATAATAATATCAGATAAACTTTAGGGAAAACAAATTACCAAAGATAGAGACAGAGATTGCATAATGAAAAAGGGATCAATATTGAGGCAATGAATAATGAAAACAACGGTCACCCTACTATGAAGTCACAAAAATCCTAAGCATCTATATAGTAAAATCCAGTGGCCAAATGTATAAAGGAAACACTGAGAAATCTTAAAACAAAATAGATAAATTTGCAATAATAGTTGAAGACTTAGACACCCTTTTCTTATCCACTAATATTACAACTGTCAGAAAATCAGCTAAGTTGTAGAATAACTAGTAACATCATCACCACGGCTAAGGGCCTAATCAAACATGTAGGATACATATTTGTTTTGAATGGCTACAGAACACACACCAAGATGAACTATGTTAAGGGTCATAAAACAAACCTCAAAAAATAAAAAAAGAAAATCTGAAATCAGACACATATTTCTAAATAACCCATGGAAATTCCAAGACCTGAATTTGGACTGAACAAAAATGAAGTTGTACCTATATCTATAGAAAATAGCTAAAACATTGCTGAGAGGCAAATGTGTAGTACTGAATATATAACTAGAAAAGGTAAAAATAAATAAAAATAACAAACCTATCTCATTTTAAAACTAGAAAAATAGATGCAAATCAAATGTAAAAACTTAAAATCATAAATAAAAATGAAAATACAGGAACACAAAGAATAAGTCTGTAGAGAGAAATAAAACTGACAATCTACTAGAATGATAAAGACACCAATACTAAATATTAGAAATAAATAATGCTTACAACTATGGATACTGCAGACATCAAAAATAATAATAAGGTAAAACTACAAACCCACATCTGTGATTCTGATGAAATTTACATGAAATGGGTCAATGTTTTAAAAAATATAAATTACTTACAAGTCAATAACAAACATAATATAGTTTGGGTTTTTTTTCTTTTTTTCTTTTTTTTTTTTTTGGTCAGTTGTGGGGCTTGAACTCTGGGTCTGAAAGCTGTCCCTCAGCTTTGCAGCTCAAGGCAAGCACTCTACTACTTGAAACAAAGTGCCACTTGCAGTTTTCTGGTAGTTAATTGGAGATAAGAGTTTCACGGACTTTCCTGCCTGGGTAGGCTTTCAAACCATGATCCTCAGATCTCAGTCTCCTAAGTAGCTAGGATTACAGGTGTGAGCTGCCAGCACCCAGCTTGAAATAGTTTTATAGCTATATTTCTAATTTATATCAAAAAGCAAGAGAAGATTATATGAGCATAGTAACTAGTGCAGAAAAAGTTAAGTTGAACATTCATAATTTTAATCTCATAAAAATAAGAGAATTTCTCAACTACATAAAGATTATTTCCAAAAATTTCCCAACTTGTTTATGTTTGACCAAAATAGGAAACAAGCAGCATGAATTTTAATGGTAAATTTTTAAACAAACTGTAGTTCATCCATACCTTGAAATGTTATCCATTCAACATTAGAAATACTAAACTATTAATAAACAGTTAATTTGACTTATATGAATCTCCACAGATTTGTGCTGAGTGGAAAAGAGCAAGTCCCGAAGAGTCTTCTGCTGGATATAAAAATTGAAATAAACAAAATTGTATCAATGGTGAATAAGTAGTTGCTGCTTGAAGGCAAAGGGCTGGAGCAGAAGAATGTGTCTATGTAAAAAGAAACTGTGGTGGTAGAAATGTTCTAAGTTTTACCCATATGAGTGCATGCAAACACATACACCATGCACGTTTACCATACACATCCACAATCACCATGTAATTTTCTTTAAATACATCATGTGTTTGTGATATATTCCCTCAACCAACTTTCTCTTTTCAGATTAAGGCAATTTTTGTCTCTTTGGATTGTATTCTGTCTTTTTCTTGAGGGTATTAAAATGATGCCATGTTGGTAGATGGTAATCTTTTTTTATAAGTAATTTGTGACAAAAAATTAGTCCTTTATAAATCTCAAAAATGTGACTTTAAATGACTCCTTTATGAGTTATAAATTCTAGAAATCATAGCTTTATTGTTCCTATAATAATGGTGTAGTTGAGAATGGACTCCATTACCTATAGCCTGTAGGTAAAGAGATCTGTACAAATGTCAAATACATAAGGTTATTTAACAATTTGGTGACTTCCGCTGAAAACTTCCAATACCAGAAGAAATTCTGAATGTCTAATAAAAGGGTATCTTGCTTCCTACATGTGATAACCCAAGGCATGACTCCATTACTCAAGTAATCATATTCTTGGAATAAACATTAACATGGTAAACTCTAAACTCTAATCGATGACTGTGTTAACTCATTCTCCAGATCATCCACTTCACTATTCCACCATTTCTTTCTTCTTTTGTGCACTTCCTTAGGCTTGAACTTGGGGTTTAAATACTGTCCCTGAGCTTTTTTGCTCAAGGCTAGCACTTTACCACTTGAATCACAGTTTCTTGAATCACAGTTCCACCTCTGGCTTTTTTGTTGTTGTTGTTTTTGTTATTAATTGGAGATAAGAGTCACATAGACTTTCCTGCCTGGGCTGGCTTTGAACCATGCACCTCAGAATTCAGCTTCCTAAGTAGCTAGGAATATGGTATGAGCCTATTCCATCTTTTCTGAATTTCTTAATACCCACTTTCAGAACTTATCTCTTATATACATCAGATATAATGTGCTTAGATTTTGTACCTTTTATATCATTATTTGTTGTATGTTGTGACAGATATTAGTTTAATATTTGTTTAAATGTTTTTACAGAGATTTAACTTGATGTAATAAAATACTGATAAATTATTTGCTAACTTGTCCATTTTAAGTATTATCAAAATAATAATGATTTTTATCAACTAATATAGGAAATGAGAAGTACTTACCTTTTTTGAAAGAAACCATCATGTTTGTCTATAGTGTAGATTACAATTTTCTAAATAGTTCATTTACCACATTGAATTTTATAGCCTAGTGAATTTGTTTAGCTGTAAATAATATATATTTAACAGATATGCTTAATGTGAATAATTCAATAAAATACTTCTTTAATGAACAAATATGATTTTGCAAGAACAAATTCACAATACCTATTCTACCATTGCTTTCTCATGAACTGATATTACTGTTTGTAATATACATACATAGTAGACATCCTTTTTAAATAAACTCCATCATTAATTTTATATCATTTAAAATTGTTAATATTCACAATGACAAGATATGCCATTATTTTATGCACAGACAGAAAGAATGAAAAGAAGTATTTAAAAATGTATTCCTTCAGCATTCTACTGTGTATGTTAGACCTGAGGTTAGAATTTTAATTTATCAGATCATACCATGATATTTTAAATGACATTTTCCAGACCTGCTTTTTAAAATAGCTTGGAACAAAGTAGATCCCTAATAATGGATGTAAAATAATTTACTTTTTCAAATGTTTGTATCAATATGAGATTTCATTTGTCATTGATTAGATAATTTGGGCTGAATCTTCAACCATACTTTATGCAAACTATAATTCTTTTCAAAAAAATAAATAAAAAGGTTCTAGCTGGGATTGTTTGTTTGTTTGCTTTGAAACCTCATGACTTATTCTTCCCTTCAAGGTTCGGGGCCCTCCAGCTGCCGGGGCATTTAAAGAAAGGCCAACCAAGCCCACAGCATTTCGAAAATTTTATGAACGAGGAGACTTCCCAATCGCCCTTGAGCACGACTCAAAAGGAAACAAAATCGCCTGGAAGGTAAGTCGGGGCACATTTGCGTCCGCCAGCGGCGCTGTCCCCCAGTGCCACCCAGACCTGGCTGCCCAGTCTAAACCCCAGCAATCCCGCAGCAAATGGAAGGTGGTAGGTGAGCTGTTGGTGAAAACCCGCTCTGTCAGCTGTCCACCTTAACTAACAATTAAATTACAGCCTCCAAAGAGGAAAATGACAGCGTTGCTTTGCCTTGGAGAATTGTCTCTGCTGCCAGATGCATCTCTTCCCCCCCCCCCCGCCCATTTCAAGCAGTTCCCTCAATGATGGAACTGGAGGCTGGCTATGGAGAGCAACAGCCATTTATCTCCACCCAATTTCACCTCTCTACAGGACACTTCCAAATGGAGGCTTTAATTACCTCAATGGATAGGTCAAGGTCTGTCTGCTCCCAGGCAGTGAGAGTAGAATGCACAAGGAGGCTGCCGCTCAGGCCAGGGCTGGGCTCGTGGTCTGCAGGGCCCCATCAGCCCGGCCGAGGTTGTCAGTCTGCCCTGTGAGAGGCTGACCTCCACTGCCACACAGACTCTTTTCTGACAAAAGGTTAATTGGCTTCAAAATAAATGTATTGCCTAATGACTCCGGTCTGATGTGGCCCTGCTTCTTTTAAAGGGCTCAGTGATGTTACTTGAAAAAAAAACAAAAAACAAAACAGAAGCAACTCGTTTTAAAGGAAAAAAGCAAAGCAAAGCAAACAACCTGCCAATCTTTTAACCAAAGAAGGCTTTTACATTTAATTTGAAAAAGAAATGCTGATCTCTTACTGGCTTCTGCTATTTAATTTTTTGGTTGTCGTTATCAACAGCTTTGCTTTTGGTGATATTTAATAGCAATACAGGCTTGTAAGCAATTGCACAGGTTTTACTATCAGATTGGGCTAAAGAAAAGGAGAGGTTTGGGCCTAGTGTCAGTGAAATGAAGCAATTCAGAGGTTAACTAAGGAGCCACGGTGTTTAAAGGTGAGTGGGGGCACTGCTTGTAATTAAGTAACAAATAAACGAATGTAATGTTAAAAATAAAATTGTCAAATGAAAGAATTGGTCAAAGTAAATAGATGAGAAAGAGGCATTAAAATTAACTTTCCCTCCTTTCTCGAAAGATGGAAAGAATAGCTGTGTCACATCTATAGTATACCTTTTAAAAGTGTTTTCATGCTATCAACAGACATTTCTCAGTCATCCAATCCTCAGTTATTGACCTCAGATTTATACCAAGTTATTTAACAAGAGAAACATGCAGGTATTGGTATTATTAATTTTGTTGTCAATATTTTTTAACAGTATTTATTTATTTAGTTATTTTATTTATTTATTTTTGGGTCCGGTTGTGGGGCCTGAACTCTGGGCCTGGGCACTGTCCCTCAGCTCTTCAGCTCAAGGCTAGCGCTCTACCACTTGAG